CTTAAAAAGCTTCATAGAAAACACCGACCTTACCTAACCTTCTTAGTATGTTAAATAAGCATCTTATTGCTTCTTAATTACAATTATTACTTAACCTATTATAGGTATAGGTTAAGTAAACCTCACAAAGTTCCAAGCGCTTCAAGAATAAGAGTCGAACAACAGTTTAAGAGAGTGAGAAAGTGCGGTCGATGACCACGAAGAGCCGATAGCGACCTCTCAGAAGGAGACTATGAAACAAGTGAATCTGAGAGCCAAGTGGGACGGGTTCAAGACACAGCTTCAAAAGAGTCACAAGGAACTGTGAGGAGTTTCAGAAACTGGGAAAAAAGAATGAGGGGGTGAAACTGCTTGTTGGAATGAGGAAGTAGCACGTCCTGTTCCAGGAAACGTTTTTTTTTTTTTTTTACGAACACGAAGTGAATGAGAGAGAAGCAAGAAATGTAAAAAAAAAAGTTAATTAAAAGAATTAATCAAAACCCAAAAACAAAAAAAATAGACTCAATGAAGAGAGATGGAGACAAAGAAATGACAGATATTCAGAAAACAAGAGAGAAAAACTCGTAGCTCAGTCGATTAAGGCAGCATCTGGGATCCTCTCAGACGCAGGTTCGAAACCTCTTCACGGCCCTTGTGGATTTCTTAAAAAAAAAAAGACTCGTAGTAAGAAGACAATTGGATAGTTACATGTGAAGATTAAAGACAATCATGGAAAAAGCCGGATAGGTTATATCCTGAGATGATTTCGGGGCTTTAGTGTCCCAGCGGCCCGGTCCTCGACCAGGCCTCCACCCCCCCAGGAAGCAGCCCGTGACAGCTGACTAACACCCAGGTACCTATTTACTGCTAGGTAACAGGAGCATCTGCATGAAAGAAACTCCGCCCACCGTTTCTCGCCGGCGCCCGGAATCGAACCCGGGACCACAGGATAACGCGTCCAGTGTTCTGTCCGCTGAGCCACCTAGCCCACCGGATAGGTGAATTGGAGAGGCGAAATAGATGACGAGAATATAATTTTAAAACTCTTATGGATGAAGGTGATGAAAAAGAGACTAATGTGAGCATCATTTAATCACTTGCTGGGGTGATTAGCGAACAAGCAACCACCTGTTATCTGTATGTGGCTGGATTAGTGGGAATATGGGGGACAACTGCAGGTGCTGAAGCCTTATACAGGTGTTGAAGCCTTATACAGGTACTGAAGCCTTATACAGGTGTTGAAGCCTTATACAGGTACTGAAGCCTTATACAGGTGTTGAAGCCTTATACAGATGTTGAAGCCTTATACAGGTGTTGAAACCTTATACAGGTGTTGAAGCCTTATACAGGTGTTGAAGCCTTATACAGGTGTTGAAGCCTTATACAGGTGTTGAAGCCTTATACAGGTGTTGAAGCCTTATACAGGTGTTGAAGCCTTATACAGGTGTTGAAGCCTTATACAGGTGCTGAAGCCTTATACAGGTGTTGAAGCCTTATACAGGTGTTGAAGCCTTATACAGGTGTTGAAGCCTTATACAGGTGTTGAAGCCTTATACAGGTGTTGGAGCCTTATACAGGTGTTGAAGCCTTATACAGGTGCTGAAGCCTTATACAGGTGTTGAAGCCTTATACAGGTGTTGAAGCCTTATACAGGTGTTGAAGCCTTGTACAGGTGCTGAAGCCTTATACAGGTGTTGAAGATTTATACAGGTGTTGAAGCCTTATACAGGTGTTGAAGCCTTATACAGGTGTTGAAGCCTTATACAGGTGCTGAAGCCTTATACAGGTGCTGAAGCCTTGTACAGGTGCTGAAGCCTTATACAGGTGTTGAAGCCTTATACAGGTGTTGAAGCCTTATACAGGTGTTGAAGCCTTGTACAGGTGCTGAAGCCTTATACAGGTGTTGAAGCCTTATACAGGTGTTGAAGCCTTGTACAGGTGCTGAAGCCTTATACAGGTGTTGAAGCCTTATACAGGTGTTGAAGCCTTATACAGGTGTTGAAGCCTTGTACAGGTGCTGAAGCCTTATACAGGTGTTGAAGCCTTGTACAGGTGCTGAAGCCTTATACAGGTGTTGAAGCCTTATACAGACGTGACGACACAGCTGTGGTGAATGTGGTAGTAAGAGGCACTGTGCCACAGGGGTAGAAAATACCACTGGCACTCCCACTATATAACAACACCAGGAAAGCCTGTGTCAGAACTATACAATCTTGAGTTTCTTCAGTGTAGCGGACTATGGGAATGTAAAGATGCTGACTGGAAGATGACATGAGATAAAAATTTGATTGGAAAGATTGGAAAAAATGCCAGGAAATGTCCTGTGATGAGAGAGTGTGTGTGTGTGTGTGTGGGTAGGTGAGATCCACCCTTAGAGTACCTCCCTTTCCTCCCTTACCACCCTAACAGAAACCCCCCCTCCCCCACCCCCCTACGTTACCCACTAGAAACAAGCACCCCTTCTACCCCCCCCCTGCCCTTCCCTCCCCTCCTCCCTAACCACCTTCCCCCCCCTCCCCACCTCTCTCAAATAATCACGTTACAATGTTCCCATATTGAAAGACACTGCCATTATAACACCTCCACCTTGCCCGACCTTATCATCACGCCTGCCCGCCTCCTCCTCCCCTCGGAGTGGGGACCTCTGAGCCGGAAGTAATGCTGCACCGTAAGAGGTAATCCCGCGGTAACCGGCCGGCTAGTGAATTATCCGGAGGGGGGAACAGCTCCACACCGGCTTAAAGGGCCCCTTAACCGGCCTGTAATTGTCAATAGCGACGGAAGAGAGGAAGATAAGAAGGACAGGAGATGATAAGGGAAAATAATAGAATGGGATAATAAGACAAGGGGCCGGTAAAGAATGAAACTGGATGGCTTAATTGAATGCTTAATTATTCATTTATATGATGCTGAGGTACCTGGCGCCTCATTAGGGGAAATCAAATCGGAGGGGACAGAGCTCTGTGGTTTCAACCATAAACAACTCCGACAAGCATAGTGTGACGTCACCAGTGTTGACGTCATAATGTAAACATTGGATGTCAGCTGATTGTAGGCAAAACATTGCCACGTGGCTAGGATGGCGGGAGGGTGAGGCTTGTCTCAGAACACCCAGAGGCACAGTGCCTCTCAGCGCTCTCGTAATGCCACAGTACGAGTGCCATAGCCAGACTGTAACGTCACTCACCTGTATCTACTGTACCCGGTAGATAATTACTCCTTAAAGCCCAACTTACTCTCTCGCACTGAGGATAGCGAGGAACGAGGACCCTCAGTGCCAGAGAGTAAGTTGGTGATATCTTTCTCACTCGCTAATCTCGCGAGACTCGCTAATCTCGCGAGTCTCGCTAATTAAAACCAGCTCGAGTACACAGAACTCGCTAATCACCTCGCTAATGACCCCGTCATCAACGACTCGTTGAACGTTTACCAACGTCAATATATATAACAAGGGAGAAAGTATTTTTTGGTTAATTAATGGAGATAACTGCATATACAATAAGTTATTATTACTCTACTAACTAATAACACAGAAATCGCCGGATAATCTAACGCTAACTAATCTATTTAGTTAAAAACGTATACAGATATCCTATATATATATACAGAACTATACGGCAATATAGTGATTAATATACTGGGGGGTCAGATTCACGAAGCGGTTACGCAAGTACTTGCGAACCTGTACATCTTTCCTCAATCTTTGACGGCTTTGTTTACATTTATTAAACAGTTTTCAAGCATGAAAACTTCCCAATCAACTGTTGTTATTGTTACAAACAGCCTCCTGGTGCTTCGGAACTCATTAACTGTTTAATAAATGTAAACAAAGCCGCCACAGATTGAGGTAAGATGCACACGTTCGTCAGTACTTGCGTAACTGCTTCGTGAATCTGACCCCCCTGAACACAAGGAGATACTCACCAATATTGAACGACTACGCTTTTTTCTCACTCACTGGCAATTCCCCCACTCAAGAATTCCACACCCCCACACACCCCCACACACCCCAACGACCCCAAAGGCGTCCAGACTCCAACTGCTTCTCTTCCACCTCACTCCTCCTCCTGCCCCCCCCCACCCACCCCACCAGGACTTAACAACCATTCCCAACAAGTACTGCCCAACCACCAACATCTTTTCGCGATCTGCTTCGCTCTGATTGGCTTATATATATATATTACACAAATGAGCTGGGAAGGGGGGGGGGGAGGGGCCAGTACGAGGCATTTTATGACAACAACAACATTTGATTGGTTCTAGTTTCAGTGAGCGGAAACGGTTTGGCATATCTAGAACAAATGTTCTAGGTTGGTTAAGTAGATGCGTAAAGGGTTGTTGGATCGTAGACAATTTGTTCTGATTCAGCTCCCGGTATTGCTTTTCTGGGGTGCGTACCCCCTCCTCCCCCAGATATCACTGCTGGGGTGTGAGTCTCCCCAGATATCACTGCTGGGGTGTGTGTATCCCCCCTGATATCACTGCTGGGGTGTGTGTATCCCCCCAGATATCACTGCTGGGGTGTGTGTATCCCCCCTGATATCACTGCTGGGGTGTGAGTTCCCCCCAGATATCACTGCTGGGGTGTGAGTTCCCACAGATATCACTGCTGGGGTGAGTTCCCATAGATATCACTGCTGGGGTGTGAATCCCCCCAGACCATCACTGATGGGGTGTGAGTCCCCCCAGATATCACTGCTGGGGTGTGAGTTCCAACAGATATCACTGCTGGGGTGTGAGTTCCCCTCAGACCATCACTGCTGGGGTGTGAGTCCCCTCAGACCATCACTACTGGGGTGTCCGCCCCCCTCAGACCATCACTACTGGGGTGTGGTCCCCCCTCAGACCATCACTACTGGGGTGTAAGTTAGCTAACTAACCCTCACTGTTCACCTGCCGCAGAAATTATAACCACGGAAGACCCGTTGACGACCCATTATATCATCTGTCTATAACGTGATGACAGCGTTCGAATCCCGTTTTCGTGCGTGCGTGCGTGACCCGGTTCCGCCTGAGAGAACTCAATAAGGGAAAAAATATCTTGTTTCCGTAACTGTTGAATTCCATGTTTCATCTCCAGGTAGATAGTGGATTGAGTAGACTCGGTTTGTTGGAGATGTGCGTATACTGGCTTTGTTGGAGATCTGCGTATACTGGCTTTGTTGGAGATCTGCGTATACTGGCTTTGTTGGAGATCTGTGTATACTGGCTTTGTTGGAGATCTGTGTATACTGGCTTTGTTGGAGATCTGTGTATACTGGCTTTGTTGGAGATCTGCGTATACTGGCTTTGTTGGAGATCTGTGTATACTGGCTTTGTTGGAGATCTGCGTATACTGGCTTTGTTGGAGATCTGTGTATACTGGCTTTGTTGGAGATCTGCGTATACTCGCTTTGTTGGAGATCTGTGTATACTGGCTTTGTTGGAGATCTGCGTATACTCGCTTTGTTGGAGATCTGTGTATACTGGCTTTGTTGGAGATCTGCGTATACTCGCTTTGTTGGAGATCTGCGTATACTCGCTTTGTTGGAGATCTGCGTATACTGGCTTTGTTGGAGATCTGCGTATACTCGCTTTGTTGGAGATCTGCGTATACTCGCTTTGTTGGAGATCTGCGTGTACTCGCTTTGTTGGAGATCTGCGTATACTCGCTTTGTTGGAGATCTGCGTATACTCGCTTTGTTGGAGATCTGCGTATACTGGCTTTGTTGGAGATCTGCGTATACTGGCTTTGTTGGAGATCTGCGTATACTCGCTTTGTTGGAGATCTGCGTATACTGGCTTTGTTGGAGATCTGCGTATACTCGCTTTGTTGGAGATCTACGTATACTCACTTTGTTGGAGATCTGCGTATACTGGCTTTGTTGGAGATGTGCGTATACTGGCTTTGTTGGAGATCTGCGTATACTCGCTTTGTTGGAGATCTGCGTATACTCGCTTTGTTGGAGATCTGCGTGTACTCGCTTTGTTGGAGATCTGCGTATACTCGCTTTGTTGGAGATCTGCGTGTACTCGCTTTGTTGGAGATCTGCGTATACTCGCTTTGTTGGAGATCTGCGTGTACTCGCTTTGTTGGAGATCTGCGTGTACTCGCTTTGTTGGAGATCTGCGTGTACTCGCTTTGTTGGAGATCTGCGTATACTCGCTTTGTTGGAGATCTGCGTATACTCGCTTTGTTGGAGATCTGCGTATACTCGCTTTGTTGGAGATCTGCGTATACTCGCTTTGTTGGAGATCTGCGTATACTCGCTTTGTTGGAGATCTGCGTATACTCGCTTTGTTGGAGATCTGCGTATACTGGCTTTGTTGGAGATCTGCGTGTACTCGCTTTGTTGGAGATCTGCGTATACTCGCTTTGTTGGAGATCTGCGTATACTCGCTTTGTTGGAGATCTGCGTATACTCGCTTTGTTGGAGATCTGCGTATACTCGCTTTGTTGGAGATCGAATTTCACATTTTGCTTATTCGTGGATTATCTCCAAGTCAGTGTAAACTGCCCTTAACACTGAGTCTCCTGATGTCTACACCCCCCCACACCTCACGAGTCAGTGTAAACTGCCCTTAACACTGAGTCTCCTGATGTCTACACCCCCCCACACCTCACGAGTCAGTGTAAACTGCCCTTAACACTGAGTCTTCTGATGTCTCCACCCCCCCACACCTCACGAGTCAGTGTAAACTGCCCTTAACACTGAGTCTCCTGATGTCTACACCCCCCCACACCTCACGAGTCAGTGTAAACTGCCCTTAACACTGAGTCTCCTGATGTCTCCACCCCCCACACCTCACGAGTCAGTGTAAACTGCCCTTAACACTGAGTCTCCTGATGTCTACACCCCCCCACACCTCACGAGTCAGTGTAAACTGCCCTTAACACTGAGTCTTCTGATGTCTCCACCCCCCCACACCTCACGAGTCAGTGTAAACTGCCCTTAACACTGAGTCTCCTGATGTCTACACCCCCCCACACCTCACGAGTCAGTGTAAACTGCCCTTAACACTGAGTCTCCTGATGTCTACACCCCCCACACCTCACGAGTCAGTGTAAACTGCCCTTAACACTGAGTCTTCTGATGTCTCCACCCCCCACACCTCACGAGTCAGTGTAAACTGCCCTTAACACTGAGTCTCCTGATGTCTCCACCCCCCCACACCTCACGAGTCAGTGTAAACTGCCCTTAACACTGAGTCTTCTGATGTCTCCACCCCCCCACACCTCACGAGTCAGTGTAAACTGCCCTTAACACTGAGTCTTCTGATGTCTCCACCCCCCCACACCTCACGAGTCAGTGTAAACTGCCCTTAACACTGAGTCTCCTGATGTCTCCACCCCCCCACACCTCACGAGTCAGTGTAAACTGCCCTTAACACTGAGTCTTCTGAGGTCTAATATTGCCGAGAGAAAAATACCATTCGGGTCCAAATAAAAACCATCAATGACATTGGCAAAGGTTCAAAAAGTTTTGAAAAGTTTTTTTTCCGTTTTGCATCAGAAAAAAGATCATTACGGAGCTTCCAAGAAATTCATTCCGTTAAAACGCGAAGAAAAACAGAAGGAAGTACATTACATTCAGAAGTAATGACACGAGAGAAATACTTTGACACTAGGGAGCCGGTCGGCCGAGCGGACAGCACGCTGGGCTTGTGATCCTGTGGTCCTGGGTTCGATCCCAGGCGCCGGCGAGAAACATTGGGCAGAGTTTCTTTCACCCTATGCCCCTGTTACCTAGCAGTAAAATAGGTACCTGGGTGTTAGTCAGTTGTCACGGGCTGCTTCCTGGGGGTGGAGGCCTGGTCGAGGACCGGGCCGCGGGGACACTAAAGCCCCGAAATCATCTCAAGATAACTCCATTGATATATATTTTTAGATGATAAACAAAGAGATTGTGGTGGGCGAGACGGAACGGAACTATCAGGAGATAGCGCCAAGCCATTTCGACTATATATCATTGGGTCAGGATAAGGATTTGGGATGGGACGGGGGGGGGGGGGAGGAATAGTGCCCAACCACCTGGACGGTCGGGGATTGAACGCCGACCTGCATGAAGCGAGACCCATGAACATAAGTAATGTTCAAATTAAGCAACAGTAAAACAAGAGGAGATAATTGGAAACACAAAAAGAGTCACTGTATTGAACTGCTGATGGTCAAAAAGTGGGGCTTTGGAGCTGATGCACGACTCTGCAAACACAACAAGGTGAGCACACACACACACACACAAACACACACACACATGAATCTGTACACCTGTTGATTGACGGTTGAGAGGCGGGACCAAAGAGCCAGAGCTCAACCCCCGCAAACACAACTAGGTGAGTACACACACACACACACACACACACACACACACACACACACACACACACACACACACAAAGGGACCAAAGAGACAGTACACAATGAAAGGGAACTGCCTACCTGTAACGATTCGAGAAAGAGACCTGGGAGTGGACGTAACACCTAATCTATCTCCTGAGGCACATACAAATAGGATAACGACAGCAGCGTACTCTACACTGGCGAAAATTAGAACTTCATTCAGAAACCTAAGTGAGGAGGCTTTTAGGGCGCTTTACACTGCCTACGTGAGACCAGTCTTAGAGTATGCCGCCCCATCATGGAGCCCCCACCTGAAGAAACATGTAAGGAAACTGGAGAAGGTTCAGAGGTTTGCGACGAGGCTTGTCCCAGAGTTACGAGGGATGGGATATGAAGAGCGTCTGAAGGAACTGAACCTTACGACACTAGAGAAAAGAAGGGAGAGAGGAGATATGCTAGGAACATATAAAATACTCAGGGGAATTGACAAAGTGGAAATAGATGAAATGTTCACACGTAATAATAACAGAACGAGGGGACATGGGTGGAAACTGGAAACTCAGATGAGTCACAGAGATGTTAGGAAGTTTTCTTTTAGCGTGAGAGTAGTAGAAAAATGGAATGCACTTGGGGAACAGGTTGTGGAAGCAAACTCTATTCATACTTTTAAAATTAGGTATGATAGGGAAATGGGACAGGAGTCATTGCTGTAAACAACCGATGGCTGGAAAGGCGGGATCCAAGAGTCAATGCTCGATCCTGCAAGCACAAATAGGTGAGTACAAATAGATGAGTACACACACACACACACACACACACACACACACACACACACACACACACACACACACACACACACACACACACACACACACACACACTCACACACACTCACACACACACACACACACACACACACACACACACACACACACACACACACACACACACACAGACACTCACACACACACACACACACACACACACACACACACACACACACACACACACACACACACACACACACACACACACTCACACACACTCACACACACACACACACACACACACACACACACACCCCACAACACACACACACCCCACAACACACACACACCCCACAACACACACACAACAAATTACTCGCTTTAAAATAGTTTTGCAACTCAGTAACTCCCTGGTGTATTGACAAGTGCCTGCTCCCACCTCCTCGCATCCCGCCCATATGAATGAGGTCGGGGCATACACAACCTTGACAGCGTATGAAATATACCACCATGGTTTAACGAGGAGGTGTATAACTATACAACTATACAATGGTCGTGTCACTCCGCGTCCAGGTGGATACAATGGCTGTCATTATATGTAAGTGATTAGAAGTTTAATCATTGTGTGTGTTGATTTGTTGATTTTAGGAGACAGAGAGAGAGAGAGAGAGAGAGAGAGAGAGAGAGAGAGAGAGAGAGAGAGAGAGAGAGAGAGAGAGAGAGAGAGAGAGAGAGAGAGAGAGAGAGAGAGAGAGACAGACAGACAGACAGAGATCTAGTTTTACCTTAATTAAACATAGTTAATAAATAATAAACACAGTTAAGTTTGATCAATCTAGTAAATTTTAAAAGGAACTTTACAAATTTATAAAAATTTACATTTCTGGCTAAAATATAAGAAAAAAGGAACAAACTTGTTCATTAAACTGACAATACATCAATTAATAAATAAAATCGAAAACTAAATTCGTTTTTTATATATATATACAGGGTCCCTAAGCCTGGAAGAAGAGAAAACGCAGTACCCAGATAAACACAAGTGCCCAAAGTCTTCTCCTGACACACCTTAACATATTTGTAACTTTTTAAACAAATTTTGAACTTGATTACAGAAAATTATACTAATTATACACATAAATAATCATATATAAATCTTATATTCGTATATATATATATAAATTTATATAAATCTTATATATATATATATATATATATATATATATATATATATATATATATATATATATATATATAAACCTTATACACATATGCAGAAAGAACAGGGGTGGCAGGAGAAGAAAATATCAAAGTGTTCAGTGAGGATCCACAAGGTCTTCTCTGAGTACTCTTTATTTTCTTCTCCGAGGTTATGGGTCCCTACACTTGCACCAGAGGTGGTACCCTTCGTAATCTTATATAAATATAATAGAGTATAAATGGACAAAGATCATATACAGATCCTAGGAAGATAAATGTAGGTCGTAAATAGATTATATAAATGTTTATAGATTTACAAATATGCAATTGTTCAGTATATATAGATAATTGTAGGGTATAAATAGATTAAGGATATACAAATAATTACATTGTACAATACAGTTAATATAGTAGGATAAATAATTCTAACACGAATTTTCTCAATGTTTCTTATATTTTTTTCACTGTTGATGGTAACTGAAAAATCAATTCTCCAAAATTCATTTTTATTTATTAGAGTAGAAATAAAAATGAATTTTGGAGAATTGATTTTTCAGTTACCATCAACAGTGAAAACAATATAAGAAACATTGAGAAAATTCGTGTTAGAATTATTATTCATACTTTTTCGGTCATATTTAATAATATATGTCTACAGGAAAGACTGCTACCAAAATATACTAATATATATATATATATATATATATATATATATATATATATATATATATATATATATATATATATATATATATATATGTCGTACCTAGTAGCCAGAACGCACTTCTCAGCCTACTATGCAAGGCCCGATTTGCCTAATAGGCCAAGTTTTCATGAATTAATTGTTTTTCGACTACCTAACCTACCTAACCTAACCTAACCTAACTTTTTCGGGTACCTAACCTAACCTAACCTATAAAGATAGGTTAGGTTAGGTTAGGTCGGGTTGGTTAGGTTCGGTCATATATCTAAGTTAATTTTAACTCCAATAAAAAAAATTGACCTCATACATAATGAAAAGGGTAGCTTTATCATTTCATAAGCAAAAAATTAGAGAAAATATATTAATTCAGGAAAACTTGGCTTATTAGGCAAATCGGGCCTTGTATAGTAGGCCGAGAAGTGCGTTCTGGC